TCCCCCCCCCCCCCCAGCGGCTATCAATTGCCAACAGCTAGCTCCTCAGCTGGGGGCGGGTGGCAGGACTTGGTGCCCACCTTCCCCCCTCCATGCTGAGATTTCATCTGGCTTGAGTTTGCAAGGTCTTGAATATGCTGTCATAACTGATGTGGATTCATATGGGCCACACTGCCTTTTATGCAGGAAAACAGTTTCCTTGTCGTTAGCCACTGCCTCTGGCTCTTATAACCTTCAGCGAAGACCCCTGAGTCCTGGGGTGGGGGTTGTGATCCGAACGTTGATTTAGGCAGTGTACTCTGCAGCCTCTTAGGCTCTGCATGTTGACCAGCTGAGAGTCATTGTGTTAATTGCCTTCTACTACAAGAAACTTCTCGAAAGGGGCCTGACAGACACACTGGCCTCTGGGTGTAGCAGTGAGTCACCATCGCCATGTTCTGATGCTTAAGTAAAAACTCCTGGAAATGAAATGTCACCGAGAGCCTCACTTAAACTCAGATGTGGCTAATTCGGAATTCTCAGAAACAAACATACGGTATAATCTGTTCTTTTTGTTTTCTCTGTAACTAGTAGAATTTTTAGAGCAGTTTTTTTTTATTTACAGAGATATTAAACAGAAAGCACAGAGCGGCCCAGTATTGCCTGTGCCCTGTCCACACACCGTGGCCTCCCAGACTCCCAACATCCACAAGTAGAATGACTCCAGCCACGGAACGTTCCACCCAAACGCCATTGCTCATACCAGGGCCCCTACTCGTGCCATGGACTTGGATACACTGAACACCATGTATCATTCGACACATAGATTTGGATGTGCCAAACGTCGTGAATCCACTACGATTCTACACAGAGGTTTCAATGCCTTGAAATCCCTCTCCACTTGCTCATCCATCTGTCCCTCCCCCAATGCCAGGATCATTCTCTGTCCCCATCGTCTGCTTCCCTGGAATATCATGGGATGTAAGGGTCTCCCACGTCTGTGTGTGTGACTCTAGGACTGTCCCCAGGGCACAGCAGTGCTGTCTGGTTGGGGTACCATCTTTATTTACTCACTGCAGGGCAAGCCAGTTGCTGTCAAGTTTGGCCTGTCACTAATAGAACTGCTACAGAACATCTGGGTTGGGTTTTTATATAAACTTTTAAATCCTTTGCATAAACACCAAGAAACGCACCCCGGTTAGTTTCTGCCAACCTGACACAAACTGGAGTCACCTGGGAAGAAGGATCCACGCGGATGAGGCATTATCTCCATCAGGCTGGCCTGTGGGAGAGTCTGTGGGGCATTTTCTTGATTGCAAACTGATAGAGGGGGCTGAGCCCACTGTGGGTGGCGCTACCTGTGGCCAGGTGATCATGGGTTGTATAAAGAAGCCGGTTGAGCAAGGTGTGGGGGGCAGGCCAGTAAGCTGTGACTGGACATGGCCTCTGCTTCAGCTCCTGTCTCAAGGTTCAGGCTTGACGTCCTGTCCTGACTTCCCTCAGTGATGCGTTGTGGTGTTTGAAGTGTATGCCAAAGAAATCTTTCCTCCCTTGCTTTTGCTCGGCAGGCTTTCAGGGCAACAGAAAGCTGACCAGAACAGCATAATTATTTGAGCCTACAGGGAGAGTACGCTGAGTTCTCCAAGAGCCTCTTCGAAGCAGCTGTACCACTTAGCGCCCTTACCGCAGCGGGTGAGTTCCTGCTTTCTCTGGCCTCCTCAGCAGCCTTCCGTGGTGGGTGTCCTCAATTTGGGGTGTTTTGATAGTTGCACAGTCTGTTTCACTGTTTTAATTTGCCATTCCCAGGGTTGAGAGATGACCGAGTGTCTGCTGCGCTTTCAGAGGACCAGGGTTCAAGTCCTAGCGTTTTTGTTGTGTAGCTCACAAATCTTAGAACTCCAGCTCCGGGGCATCTCTTGCCTTCCTTCCGGCTCCCCAGGCGTCTGTCCTTGTCTGTGCATACATGCACAGACACGCACATAGCATTTGATAATAAAAAGTAATTTTATTTACGATCCCCTAATAATTTAATGTTGAATGGCTATTCCTGGATGACCTTGCCATTTCCAAGAGAATTTAAATATTTTCTTCTTAGACTAGTCAAAGGCTAGGCTACAGATATGATTATTTTTCTCTGCCTCTCACCCCACGTCCCTACCCTGTACCTGGAATGAATCATTCTACTTCTTTGTGACACAGATAGACCACTCTGGTCTTTATTCCTTGCAGAAAATGAAGCCGGAAGCTTCTGAATGGGACTCGGGACCAAAACTTAGGCCACCATTCTAACTCTTTGAGCAGTAGGGCTTTCGTCACTTAAAAATGAATTCTCTTGTGTCAACATTTAAGAAAAAAAAAAAACAATATAGCCCCTGCCCCTCTAAATCTTCTGCAAAGAAGAAAGGGGTTAAGGTGAGGACAGAGGAAATCTTGGCTCTTCTTTCTGGACAAGAATCAGGGGTTCGTACAACAGAGGCACGTTCTGAAAGGCAAATGGTCCGACAGATTCAAAAAGAAATTAAACCATGTAGTTAGTGAAAGAGCTGACCGCTGCCCAGAGTGGTCCTATGCCCTGGCAACAGGAGATAGTCACTTGGCTGGTCATATGTGGTCGTGTTAACACATTTGTCCTGTCTGTCCCTGCCCAAAGACCCGTCACGCCTTGGAAAGCCCCGTAGACAAACGTGGGTAGCCCTGCGCCATTCCCCTGCTATGTTAAAAATGTACGCCTATTTTCCCAAGCAAGCTTCGATTAAAGAGAGCACATCTGTTTTAAGTCCCCCTTTTATGAAAATTACTGTGCTTCCTCTGCATGCTTATCTTTTAATTTTGAAATTCTTTGTAGCAATAACTCAAGATAATAACCATCCATATTTCTGGCCCCTTTAAAAAATAAAGGGGGGAGGGGATGGGAGGAAAAAAGAGGCAATGTGTCATTTTTGAGCTTTGAACTCCAGGTTCCGATCCCCCCCACCCCCCTTTGGGCTCAGGGCCTCTTCATTTGCGTTTAGAATGGAGAAGCCCCCTGGATTATGCTGCCAGCCTCCAGGCCGCTGCAGACAGGCCCAGCTTGAGATTTGGGACTATTCATCACGCCCCCGGCAGGGGGGAACCTTCCTCTCTTCCCCGGTTCATCAGAGCAGCTCAGCTTCCTTTTCTAGACTCTCTGCCCCACCCCCAACCCTTCCCACAAGTCTCTCACCAAGGGAGGGCTGCTGCAAAGCCCTGCACCTCAGGCATATGGACCTGCACGCATCCCACGCAATACCCATGTACTCAAAACACCTTTGTTTTTGAGTAATTCATCTTTGTTTTGAGTAACAAAAGCATAGTGTTTTGTTTTTTGTTTTTTTACAAATTGTTCTTTGATTTAATTTTTATTTGTACTTAATGTGTGGGTGTTTTGCCTGCATGTATGCATGGTAAACATATCCATGCAGTGCCCACAGAGTCCAGAAGGGGGCATAAGATTTCCCTGAGACTGGAGAAACACCTGATTCTGAGCACCCACGTGGGTGCCTGGAATGAAACCCAGGTCCTCTGCAACAGTAGCCAGTGAGTGCTCTTAGCCACTGAGTCATCTCTCCAGTTCCACATCTTTTAAAGTGCATGTTTTGAGAAACTTTTGAAGTGTATGTGTATTGTGATGTGTGCATGCCACAATATGGACATCAGAGGACAACTATGTGGAGTTGGTTCTTTCCTTTACCTTTATGTTGGTTCCAGGGATTAAACTCAGGTCCTCAGGTGTGTATGGCAGGTGCCTTCCCCACTGAGCCAGCCGTAAACCATTTTTGAAAGCCCTGATTGTTCTCAGGTTGAATTTGTCCTCCTGATTTCTTGTTCTAATTCGTTAGCTCCAAATAGCATGGAAGAACAGGGAGATGCTTGCGGAGGCCCAGAGAAGTGGCTTCCACTCTAGCTTGACATTTAAGGTCCGAGAGTTAGAGCCTAGTATCGCTCCATACAAGGTCAAACAACAGGGTGTTTGGCCTAAGGTACAGCAACTGGATGCTTTGCTCCTTGATACCAAATAACAGGATGTTTAACTTAGGGTCGAGCAATTGGATGTTTTGAATATTAAGGAAGTAATCACTCTTATTTGTTCCTTGTAGAATGATAGTCATTTTGCCCTTCCCCTCTGGCTTGGGGTATAAAATGACTATAAAAAATAAACTTGAGCAGATTCAGTATTCATCGAAGTGCGCCACCCCCCCCCCAACTCTATCCTCAGTCACTTACATATGTGGACGAGTTGGCTGGACGGAGACAGATGCTTTACAGGGTAGGTGGTGAGCAACTGTAGTTGTAGAACTCGGGAGCTGAGGCATGAGGAAAGCCAAGAGGTCTAGCTAGGACTGCAGAGCGAGATGCTCCCCCACCCCAAAGAGAGATGGGTATAGGAGAAGGGGGCACCCTGGGAAGCTGTCTAGAAATGTTTGTCAGGGGTGGAAGGAGAGCTGGGGTCCTGGAAGACTCCAGTAGGTGAATGTGCAGGCTAACCCACCTCCTGGTAGCAAGAGACACAGCCCAGGCCCCACCCCCTCCCGTTTCTGCAGTGTCTATGATACCTACCACACCCATGTCTGTCCTTCCCCCTCCCTAGCTCCCTCTGTCTCTTCCCCCCCCTCTCCTTCCCTGCTTTCCCCCTCCCCATCGCTGCCTCTTTGGACACCAGTCATACAATGGTAAACATGCATACATCCAGGCAAAACGCTCACATACCTAAGATAAATATTTTCAAAAAGCCAAAAGCCTCAGATATTCTCATACACCCAAATGACAAAGGCCTTGTCTCCCATCAATCATCTTTGCCATCCAGAAGAGAGATGATTTTGGGGTTCTTTCTCGGGCCTGTTGGATGAATGGAGAAGCAAAGCAAATGCAAACACTACGAAGAAATCAGGCTCCTTCCGTGTGGAAACCTCCCACATTTTCCCACTAGCCACTGGGGCAAATAGTACCCATCATCACCACACAGGGCATTTCCCATAGCCCCTCAGCCATGCCTACGGAAGCTCTCTGATGCTCTGCCCCTCACCTCCACCCCCATGCAGAATGGTGTTAGCCTTTGAGTTGCAGCTTTTAAATTATTATTGTTGTTGTTGTTATTATTTTGGACAGGGTTTCTCTGTGTAGCCCTGGCTGACCTGGAACTCACTCTGTAGACCAGGTTGGCCTCGAACTCGTAGAGATCCTCCTGTCTCTGCCTCCCAAGTGCTGGGATTAAAGGTATGTGCCTCCACTGCCCAGCATCTGAGTCACATCTTGAGACAGGAAAGAAAGATGGAAAACTAAGGGGATGCAGGGAGAAAAAGGAGCCCTCACTTGAGTCTGGCTAGAGATTCTAGCACAATTGACAGAAATGCTGCTGGTTTGTCAACAAAAATATTCCTTTCATATGGAGATGTTTCAGATAAGATCGCTAGAACAAGAGGCTGAAGGGCTGGTTCAATGGTTAAGAGCACTAGCTGCTCTTTCAGAAGATTTGAGTTCCATCCCCAGCATCCACACAGCGGCTCACAGTCATCTGTAAGCCCAGTTCCAGAAAGGATCTAATGCCCTCTTCTGGCCGCCATAGGTACTGCATACAGAGGGGGCATAAACAGAGATGTAGGCAGGCAAAATGCTCATACAAAAAATAAAGTTTGAAAAATTAAATAAAAACAAGGCACTGGAGATGGCTTGGTGGTTAAAGGCACTTTCTGTTCTTCTAGAGGACCTGGGTTTGGTTCCTTACACCCATATTAGGCAGTTTACAGCCACCCTAACTCAAGTTCCAGAGGTTCCAATACCCTCTGTCTGGCCTCTTCCACTCACACAAACACATAAAAATAACTTTTAAAAACGATATTAAAATAGCAATGGATGCTCATTAAGGCCTCAGTGTACATGACAAAGTGTGGCTCTTCTCTCTTCCCAGGTACAAACCTGGGATTTCCCCGGGAATCTCACAGGAACCCACATTTACAAAGGAAGATAATGTCTTTAAGGCTTTTTTCTTTTTTTATGTGTATGATTGTTTATCTCCATGTACCATGTGTATACCTGGCACATGTGGCCAGAAGAGGGCAGCAGAATTGGAGTTACGATGTCTTGAGCCAGCATGTGGGTGCTGGGACCCGAAGTCAGTTCCTCAGCAACAGCAGTCAGTGCTCTGAATCACTGAGCCATCTCTCCTGGAAGACAGCGTCTTCACCTCATTATGTAACCCTTGAGGCCCATGGCTTTAGCTTATCAGATTGCAATCCTAGCTGACACATCCTCTGGGTCCTCCTAGTACCTCTTTTATTTAAACAACAACGGGGGGGGGGGGGGGGGGGGGGGGCANGGGGGGGGGGGGGAAGGGGAGGGACTTAGAAGCTTTTTGAACAAGCAATCCCCAAAGCTTCTAGAATCTTCTCTGTAGCTATACAGAGGGGAGCTGGATGAGCCCACAGCCATGCTTGGGTACATCTTATAAAAGGGTTTCCAGCACAAGGGTATCTTAGCAATCAGGAGCAGAGGAATACAAAGTCACACCAGGCAACAAACCTCACACAAGAGATTTATTAGGGAAAGAGACAGAACCGTGACTACCTCTGAGTGGGAACGGAGACAGCAGTGGGCTGGACAGAAAGGATGGGTTGTATAGGGTTTTGGAGCGTGCGCAGTGAGCTAGTGGAAAAGTACTGTTTAGCCTGAAGTATTGTTTGGCCAGTTACCTTGAATCATGGGGGTGTGGATTTCCAAATCCTGGGTTTTTAGGGACAAGGCCAGGGCAGGGTGATTTTTCTCCTGGCCTGTGTTTCTACATTTTATCCTAATTCCTGTGTTTTAAAACCTATGTTAAGATTTTTTATTTATTTATTTATTTTACTTACATTTCAGTTCTGCTTCATGCTGGCCAGGCCTGAAACTTCTCTTCTGCAGTGAAGTCTCCAGCTTCATCTGAGTTAGAGGTCTCTTGAGGGAACTCCTCAGACTTAACACAAGCTGCGCGCAGCAGGAACAGAGAGAGCCCTGTCTCTAGGCTGTGTGCCTGCCGCTGACATTCCATCTCCGGATCACCTCTAACACCCGATACAAAGGTAGGCGCCCCAGAGACACTTGTGCCGTGTTACTTAAGAGGACGATACCAAAGACGAAGCAGGAAGCGTGTGCATATTCCATGCAGACAAGACCATCACTTGTGTGTGGAGGCCTGATGACACTGGCTGTTGTTCCTCAGGAGACAGTCACCTTTTTGAGACAACATCTCCCTGGCCTAGGGTGCAACAGAGAGCTTAAACTAGCCATTCAGTGAGCCGCGCCAGCCAGTAGTGAGCTGCGCCAGCCAGTGAGCCATGGGGGTCCTTCCATCTCTGCCTGTGCTGGGATTGCAAGTGTGCACCACCATGTCCAGCTCTTTACACTGTCTCCGGGGATCAAACTTAGGTTCTCACGTCCCAGTGACAAGTGTTTTACCAAAATAGCCATCCCCCAGCTCCAGAATGTAAATATTTACTGAGGTAAAGAGAAAGGTTTGTGTTTCGGCCTTGCCGTCTTTTGTTTTTTAATCGCTTGCCCTTTTTTCCTCGTGTTCCTTGGCTTCTAGAAGCTGGGGCTGCTGACTTGAGACCCACTCTGGACTCCACAGTCTTCACAGTGCTCCCTTGCATATGGGCACAGTTTCTGTTACTATATCCACCTTCCACTACTGCTCCACTGTGCCAAGTCAGGCCCCTCTGGGACAGTGGTTGGCACTTGCCTCTCAAGCCTCCCTGATCCCACTGTGCCCACACAGGCTCATCTGGGGTAATATTGTAGCATTCCAACCTGGATCTTCCTGTCATAGGACATGGCCCTCAGAGCAAAACGGTCTCCATCTTCATCAGATCAGCTGTTCCCTGAGTGGACTTTGTGGACTGTTGGTATTCTACAGAGAAGGTCGCTGGACCCTGACCTAACGTTCCAGCTGCTCTCTCCTGTTCTCTCGGCCATTTGTGTGCAATTCTGCCTTCACAGTTTCAGGCTTCAGATCTCGGGATATGTTAGAATATACAGGCTAGGGAAGGTTAACTGGAGGTGTGTGTCTGCTCCATCTAGTTATGGGGATGTCAGGATTCACACAGGGTACAGACTTACTACAGTTGTTTTAGGGTCCCCCACATTCCTGTCAGTAAGTCTTCATCCAAGCTCTGGGAGTTAAGCCCAGTAACCTCACTGGTTCCCCAGGGTGAACTCTGGTGGAATGGTACATAGGTTTATTGGTAGGATTTTATGGGAATTGAAGGGATATTATACATGTCTTCCCAGGAATGGAATTCTTCAGACACTTCTTGTCCTGTGTACTCTGGCCATGATGGCCACTTGTAGCTCTATAGCATGATGTCTAGCCACTCTGCATGGAGGGGCCTTCTTCACACCTAATCCCTCTCCTTGCTTTCCTCATCCATAATCAGTCAAATTTCCCCTTTCCAAAACCTTATGATCATCACGCATGGCCCGAAAGGTGTTCTTGTGATGACTGTGTACATAGATTCTGTGTACACAGTGCCATTTGCTGTTCCATTTGCTAAAACTGCTGGTTGTCATTCAATGAATTAACTTCCGGGCTCCGTGTGATTGAGGTGAGGCCACAGAGATCACCAGAGACCACCCGCTCACTCTCCAAGAGGCCCGCAGCATCTCTACAAATGGGGTTCAGTCATCTGTTGGAACGTTCCCCTTCCTAGCTTTCCTCTTTGCTGCTCGGGGCATTTTCTCGCTGTCTGTGACTCTTCCATACATGCCTTCACCCAGCAGGTAACTTGCTGTGTAGGAGACAGCCTCTTCCTTTCTCAGCATGTCCTCAGAACACAACACATCTCCGCCCCCTATGTCACCTCCGTGGGTCACCATGGAGATCCTCAGAGTCTTCCTCTGGAGCATCCATTGACCCTGTCTGTCCTAGGTGCCATAGACCACAGCCTCCCTTTCCTGATGTTGCTATGTGACAGCCTTGCACACCTAGCCCTGCTTGGCTCCATTCTCAGGCTCACCTCTGCTATTGGAGAACACCCCTCCTTTGTGGGTTCCGGCCCTGGAAAGACTGGTCGGCCACATCGAGGAAGACTGGGGTGTCTATGGCCTGCCATTTCCAGACCATTGCTACACAGAAGCGGCGGGGGAATTGTGGCAGCAGAGTCATATGACAGAACACTCTAGAGATGCTGTCATGTCGCCTTCACTAATGGTGATGTGTGTCTACATCACACATGTAGACAGATGTGACATGGTGTTGGGGGCCTCGCCAGAGTCGGGGGCTGGCAGGAAGTAGTGCTGGGTTTCAGGGTCAGGAAACCACCTGCAGAGTAGAGACAGAGAGGTTCAGAGAGGGGCATGGGTTACTCGCCCCCTTTGGTACACATCTTGACACACACCAACCTTTCTGGTTCTTTTGCAGACCCTCACCCCAAGTCTTCAGCACCCTCAGCTTCCCTCCCCTGAAACCAGGGGTCCTTGACCTTCACAGCATAGTTCCAGGGCCTCCTGAATACACCGAACACTTCAACCTGCATGTCTTAGGGATTGCTCTTTTCCCTTCGTGGGTCACTAGCTCATCTCTCTCACAGCCATGGAGTTGCCCGTATCCCTTCAGGCTTCCCTCAGACATGACCACCTCAATGGGCACACATACACCCTCTGAACACACCTCCTAAACTCACAGCACCCTGTCCTTGTTCCCCTTCTTACCACTTTCTTCCTTTTTGCTGATGCTGTTGCCCCTCTTCCTTGGCTGGGCTCAGAAATTTGCGCAGTGGCTCTTGCTCACAAAGGACCTTCATGGATCCTACAAACCAGTGAGCTACCCCACAGCGGCCAGGACGCTAGCAGCACCAGATCAGACCATCTAGAGAGGAGAGCTTAGAAAGAATGTCTGCTCCCACTGAGACCACGCACACCCCAGAAAGGTCATGCCCCTTCTCAATGAAGCCTTAGTCCTCTACAAAGTGACTGGCAGATGGAACCCCAGGTAGGCACTTGCTACTTGCTCCTGGGACTTCTAAGTATTAAAGTTCACCTCCCAAAGCAACAAATACAACTGCAGATTGAGGCTCGCAAAGACATGATGTATTCTTAGCCAAACCCACCCATAGATATCTTCAAATTTTAATTTGCCATGTTTGTAACATAGAGGGCCGGCTTATTAGGGTTTCTGTCCCACCCGGTACCCCACAGCCGGCAAGTCCCAGAGAAAATCACACAGATCTCCATAAGTTATAAAACTGGCTCATTAGGGGCTGGAGGGATGGCTCAGTGGTTAAGAGCACTAACTGCTCTTCCAGAGGACCCGGGTTCAATTCCCAGCACCCACATGGCAGCTCACAACTGTCTGAAGATCCAGTTGCAGGGGATCTGACACCTTCACACCAATGCACATAAAATAAAGTTAAATAAACCATAAAAAAAACTGGCCCATTAGCTCAGGCTTCTTGTTAACTCTTATAGCTTATATTAACCCATTGTTATTATCTATGTTAGCCACATGGCTCAGTACCTTTCTCAGTGGGCAGATTACATCTTGCTTCTTCCATGGTCTGGGCAGGTTTCAGTGGAATAGGCTTCCTCCTTCCCAGAATTCTCCTGTTCTCATCGCCCTACTGAACTTCCTGTCTGATTGACCCACATATACTTCCTGCCTGGCCAATCAGCGTTTATTTAAAACACGATTGACAGAATACAGACAATTCTCCCACATCACATGTTGAACTAAACAAGTGTCTTAGGTTGGAAGAAGAAAAAAAGGCTCCTCATGGTGACTACTCTCTGCTCAAAAATGAGGTGTGTCCTTATGAGGCATTCGGAAATTTCATTTCTGATTTAGCTATTTTGATAAATACCTGTCTTATGGAGATGAATAATCCTTTTCAATAGAACCTCTGAAATTAAATCTTTTTTTCAATTTTATTATATTTTACACGAGTGCTGTGTGTGTGTGTGTGTGTGTGCATATATACATGTGTGTGCTATCCTGAAATGTAGGACGAGGGCACCAGACAGCCTGCAACTGGAGCTATGATGGTTGCGAGACACGAGGGCACCAGACAGCCTGCAACTGGAGCTATGATGGTTGCGAGACACTATGTGGGGTCTAGGATTGAACCCAGGTCCTCGACAAAAGGGCTGCTTGCTCACAACTGCTGAGCCATCTCTTCAGCCCTGAGATCACATCTTTATGATATATAATGTGGTTTTAGTAATTTGTATTTATTATGTGTATATGTGTGTATGTGCACATGTGTGTAAGCACTCAGGGGGGCCAGAAGAGGGTGTCAGAGCCCCTGAGGTTGGAGGTTCAAGCAGTCATGAACTACCAAAAGTAGGTGCTGAAACTGAAACCAGGGTCTTCTGCAAGAGGAACAAGGGCTCTTAACTGCTGAGCATTTTTTCCTTCCTTTATAATGTGATAGAATGAGTCACATTGACAGGGTGATTAATTTTGAACCATAGTTATTTTTTAAAATGTACAGAACATGAGTGGTATACATTTGAAAATAGTCTTTGATGTTTACAAACAAAAATATTTTATTTCATCGCCCGAGAGATAATAAAATATTTAGATGTGAGGGCTTCAATCAGAGGGTGGTGAGAGACAGTACTACTGTTTTCAAAGGGAATGCTCGGGGCCTGAGAAGATAGGAGCACCGGTACAACTCAGAGTACATATTGCTCTTGCAGAGGATCTGGATCCTCCCAGCTCATAGGTCACTGTAGTTCTAGCTGCAGGTAATACAGTGCCCTCTTCTGGCCCATGTGGGTACTGCACTCACAAGTACATATTCCCCCTACACACATAATCAAAAGCAAAACAAATCTTAAACCGAAACAAGGAGTACATGGCACTAGGGAGATGGCTCAGCTAGTCAGGTGTGTTGTACAATGATGGGGACCTGAATTTGGACCCTGAGCACTCGTGCAATAGGCTGGACACAGCCGCATACAGCAGTAATCCCAGTGCTGCAGGGATGGAGACAAGTGTATCACAGAGCTCAGTGGCCAGCCAGTCAAGGCTGTCAGCTCCAGGCTCAGGGATAGAGCATCTCAAACTGTAAGGTGAGAGTGTGAG